TTTTTTTTTTTTTTTTTTTTGGAGTTGGACTCTCACTCTGTCACCCAGACTGGAATGTAGTGGCACGCTCTTGGCCACCGCAGCCTTGACCTGTGATCCTTCCAGCTCAGCCTTCCAAGTAGCTGGAACTACAGGCACACACTATCTTGCCCAACTAATTTTTTTGATTTATTGTAGAGACAAGGTGTCTCCAAGTTACCCAGGCTGGTCTCAAACCCGAGCTCAGACAATCCTCTCACCTTGGCCTCCCAAAGTGCTACCGCACCCAGCCGCTAATATATATATATTTATCTCATCTTTTTTTTGAGTTGGAGTCTCACTCTGTCGCCCAGGCTGGAGTGCAGTAGCATGCTCATGGCCACCGCAGCCCCTACTTCCTGGGCTGTGGTGATCCTTCAACCTCAGCCTCCCAAGTAGCTGGGACTACAGGCACGCGCCACTATATCCAGCTAATGTTTTTCATTTTTTGTAGAGATGAGATCTCACTATGTTGCCCAGGCTGGTTTTGAATTCCTGGACTCAAGCAATTCTCCCACCTCAGCCTCCCAAATTGCTGGGATTACAGGCATGAACCACCATGCCCAGCCTGAAGATATTTTTGACTGTCACAATTGGGGGACTGCTACTGGCAATTAGAGGGCAGAGACTATTTCCTTTTTTTTTTTTTTTTGAGTTGGAGTGTCACTCTATTGCCCAGACTGGAGTGCAGTGGCCGCTCCCGGCCACCGCAGTCTTGACCTGCTGGGCTCCAGCGATCCTTCCACCTCAGCCTTCCAAGTAGCTGTAACTATAGGTGTGCCAAGTTGCCCAGGCGGGTCTTGAACCCGCAGGCTCAGGCAATCCACTCACCTCAGCCTCCCAAGGCGCAGGATTACAGGCTAAGCCACCAAAGCCCGGCTGACTATTTCCTAATGCTGCTAAACATTCTACAATGCACAGGACAGAACCCAACACAACAAAGAATTATATGGCCAAAATGTCAATAATTCTGAGGTCAAGAAACTCTGGCTTAGATGACTACCAAGTTCCCTCTTAGCTCTAACAGACTATGATGAGGCAGCACCAACACTGAACAGGTAACATTTTTGATAACTATCTATGAATGGCTTCTTATGATGGTACTCAAAATCCCCCTAAAGCCAGATAGTTAAATATTTCCTCAATAACCATTTCCACTGGAAGAAATTAGACATTTCCCTCAGATATTTACATATCTAAAATCAGTGCTGTATTTCTGAGCTGTCTTCCTTTGCATCAAGAAGAGACCTAGGGAAGAAAAAGACACTGTCCCCCAGGGACTTAGTCTCTGACCCTTTGAACTTAGAATCAGTACTTCTAGAACCATGAGATTACTTTTGAGAAAGTAGATGATTTAAATAAGTATAAATGAGTCGAGCATAGTGGCTCACACCTGTAATTCCAGCACTTTGGGAGGCTGAGATGAAAGGATTGCTTGAGCCCAGGGCTTTGAGACCAGCCTAGACAACATAGTGAAACCTTGTATCTACAAAAAAAATCAAGAAAACTAGTTAGACATGGTGGCGCATGCCTATAGTCACAGTTACTTGGGAGGCTGGTGTGGAAGGATCCTCTGAGTCCAGGAGGTCAAAGCTGCAGTGAGCCCTGATGGTGCCACTGCACTCCAATCTAGGCAACAGAGTATAGCTCAACTAAAAAAAAAAATTAAAGTAGATAAAAATCAAAGTCAGAAGAAGATGTAATATAACAGCAAAGATAAATCTCAAATACATCATGCTAACCAAAAGAAGCCAGACTCAAATAGCTATATACTGTATGATTCCATATATATGACATTCTGGAACAGACAAAACTGTAGAGATAGAAAACAGAGCCAGGCAAGATGGCTCACACCTGTAATCCCAGCACTTTGGGAGGTGGAGGTGAGAGGATTGTCTGAGACCACGGGTTTGAAACCAGCCTGGGCAACTTGACAAGACCTCATCTCATCTCTTATAATAAATTAACAAATTAGCTGGGTATGGGGTGGTGGCACACCTACAGTTCCAGTTACTTGGAAGGCTGAAGCAGAAGGAATGGTCTGAACCCAATAAATTAAGGCTGCAATGGCTGTGAGCATACCACTGCACTCCAGCCTGGACGACACAGTGAGACTCCAACGCTAAAAAAAAAAAAGAGGGACAGAAAACAGATCAGCAGTTGCCAGGGGCCAGGGCAGGGGAAATAGACTACAAAGAGGAGAAAGAAGGAATTTGGGGGATGATGGACTGTTTTATATGTTGATTATGATGTCAGCTATAGACTTGTATGTGTTCTTTAAAACTCAGAAAAGTACACTAAAGAGTGGATTTTTTTTTTTGAGTTGGAGTCTCACTCTGTCGCCCAGACTGGAGTGCAGTGGCTGCTCCCAGCCACCGCAGCCTTGACCTGCTGGGCTCCGGCAACCCTCCTGCCTCAGCCTTCCGAGTAGCCAGAATTACAGGCGCACACTACCACGCCTGGCTAACTTTTTTATTTTATTGTAGAGATGAGGTCTTGCCTGTCCAGGCGGGTCTCGAACCCACGGGCTCGGGCAATTCATTCACCTCAGCCTCTCAAAGGCGTGGGATTATAGGCTGAGCCACCGAGCCCGGCAAGAGTGAATTTTACTGTATCTAAATTATACTTCAATAAGACCCCTCCTCTCCACATGTGATCACAAATGCTGTAGAGAGGACAAACTGGGTTATATCCAAATTCTTTCCCACCTCAAACCCTAAGGGTTTATGGATTCTGCCTTTCCTTCCCTTGGTGGCCTCAGAGTCACAGTGATTAGGGTTACATCTGGGATCCAATTTCTGTGTTAAAGCAATAAAGCTTCTGACTGGATCATGTGGATATAAGTCCTGCCACCCTTCTGGGACATCTGGCCCTATCCCAATTTGTGACAGAGGTTCCCTTCCTTCTCTCTCCTATCTTGACTTCACTTAGGACCAATGAGGGACTCAGACAATGAATAAACAAGCCAGAATAAACCTCGGGAGACACTGGTTTTATCTCTCTGCACAGGCTTCCTGTCTGGATCTCAGTTAATATTTCCACCAAATTTCAAATCAGGCAAAGAAGAATCATATTTACGGATATGAATTCCTCTCTCCTCTATGGCTTTTTGGGCTTTCACTAGATTATTTTTATACAATTAGCTGACATAAACATGAAACATGGGCTTTACAACTAAACTCATATCCAAGCTCATTGATACTAAAATACATATGTGTATGCACATATGTGTTTTGTTTCAACACATATACACTCCCTCCAACTGTTACACAAAATAATTAATTTTTCTTATTTACAGAAAAGTAATAAGTATGCCATGGCCAGCGAGGTCTGAAACAGCTATCAGAATGCTTGCTTTCTGCTAATGGAGAGACCACTGTCTTCTATGCCACAAATATAGTCACAACTGTGGACTGCTGTAGAAGTTCTATCCTCTTTATTGAGAGTCAGTTAGAAAAGCCAGGAAACTGGCTCTTTTGGAGAATCTCAATGGAAAGTTTATAAATACTAGTAACCAGATATCTCACACACCCTTGAAAGCTGACAGAAAATCAAGGAGCACGAGACAAGTCTGGACTTGCCAGTGTCCTCATATTCCAAAGGACAGAGAAGACTCAGTAGGGGCCAGGTAATGTTCACACTGCCCTTTTCTGCTGAGCTTTATAGCAAACACATTAGGACTACAAAGCTGGGGTGCTTATGTTATAACAGAAGGGGCCCACAGAGACAACAAATCCCACCGTGGTCTACGGCCTAGTTCCACATGTTCCCTTCAGAATGGAAGAACTGAATAATAACGTTTCCATTGTTTAGAATTATTCAATCATCTTCAGAAGTCTGTATCAGCAGAAAATTAGTAGTGTCTCCTGAGTCACCCAAACTTGATAATGCTGTTGTACTTTTGGCATAATTATTAAAAGTTTCACAAAAGACTAAAATACTTAGCAGAATACATATTTTGACTTTTTATTCAAAGGTATATAAGTGGATAGACTGTCTAAGTCTCCCCAAAATCTTTCTATTTCTGGTGGCATTGCCTAAGGACATATTCCCATAGTATTCTTTTTTCCCATATGTAATATGATACACAGAAGGTCAAATAAATAGTTTTTTCAGTTTTATTTTGTTATTATTTTTTGAGTTGGAGTCTCACTCTGTCGCCCAGACTGGAGTGCAGTGGCCGCTCCTGGTCACCACAGCCTCGACCTGCTGGGCTCCAGCAATCCTTCCGCCTCAGCCTTCCAAGTAGCTGGAACTACAGGCGTGCGCTACCATGCCCAGCTCATTTTTTATTTTATTGTAGAGATGAGGTCTCACCAAGTTGCCCTGGCGGGTCTCGAACCTGCGGGCTCTGGCAATCCACTCACCTCAGCCTCCCAAAGGCGTGGGATTACAGGCTGAGTCACCAAGCCCGCCTTACCTAAACTAACTTATACCTACCTGAGTCTTGCTGAGCTAAACGGACATTAGTCAACTTTCATGCCCTAAGCAAGCAGTCTTTCCCATCTCCTTTGGCGATCCTTCGGCCTCAGTCTTCCAAGTAGTTAGAACTACAGTCATGTGCTACCACATCCAGCTTAATTTTTGATTTATTGTAGAGATAAGTTCTCACCAAGTTGTCCAGGCTGGTCTCGAACCCCTGATCTCAGGCAATCCTCTTGCCTCAGCCTCCCAAAGTACTGGGATTACAGACTTGAGTCACCACGCCCAGCTAACAGTATGTACACATCTTAAATAAATTTTTGCTTTTTACTTTTATTTTATTTTATTTTATTGAGTCGAAGTCTTACTCTGTTGCTCAGGTTGGTTAAACAAATTTTCAAAAGAACTGAGAGGAGTGAAAGAAAAATAATAAATGACATTACCACATCCTGAGATGCATACTGAGGGTCCTCTGGGTTGACTGACCAGTAGCAGTAATCAAAGCCGAATGCCACAACCTTCTCCCTGGAGTCCCCAAAGCCATCTGGTCGACCATCCACCTAAAATCAAATACAAGATCCAGTGTCTTCTCTATCATAATATAAGAATCTGACTAATGGCACTCGATTACTCTCTACTACAGTTACACAGACCTGGACTGGTCATGACAATGTTTATGATCTCTACCTGAAAAAGAAAAAAAAGTTACCTTTGTCTCTAGCTTATTAGGTACATATAAAGTACCAGACAACTAAATGTATCTATCATACTATCATATATATGCCTATATATGAACCAAACACATGAGACACTGGAAATCTTGGGAGAGAAAGCCTTTCCCTCTCTGGACATATTATCATTAGAGGTCGACTATCAAAGTTCTTAGAACCAGAAATGTTTTTGATTTTTTCAGATATCAGATTTTTGGGGGACTTTGGAATATCTGCACATGTATAAACATCTTGGAGGTGGGATCCAAGTCTAAACATGAAATTCATTTATGCTTCATCTACACCTTATGTACATAGCCTGAAGGTAATTTTATACAATATTTTTAATAATTTTGTGCATGAAACAAAATTCTGTGTTTTTTTTGTTTACTTTTTGAGTCGAAGTCTTACTCTAGACCAGGCTGGACTGAAGTGGCACAATCACAGCTACTGCAATCTCAACTGACTGGGCTCAGGTGATCCTTCTACTTCAGCCTACCAAGTAGCTGGAACTACAGGCCCACACCACCACGCCTGGCTAATTTTTTGATTTATTGTAGAGACGTGATCTCCCCACATTGCCCAGGCTGATCTTGAACCCCCGGGCCCAGGCAATCCTCTCATCTCAGCCCCACAAAGTGCTGAGATTACAGGTATGAGTCACCGTGCCCAACAAAATTATGTGTTTCAACTGTGACCTCTCACATGAAGTCAGCTGTGAAATTTTCCACTTGTGACATCATGTCAAGTTTCAAAATTTGGAGCATTTCAGATTTTGAATTTTCAAGTGAAGACAACCAACCTATATCATTTTTTCTCTAAGTATTTCTGCAAAGGATACTAGGATGCATGAGTAGTTCAGGCCCTGGGCCTGACAGGCTCCATCAACCTTGGCCTTTTGCTGAGGTCCCTTGGGGTAGTCACCTGTAGCGAATTAGAAACCATGCTGGTCGGGCATGGTGGCTCACGCCTATAATTCCAGCACTTTGGGAGGCTGAGGTGAGAGGATTGCCTAAGCCCAAGGGTTCGAGATCAACCTGGGCAACTTGGCAAGAACTCATCTCTAGAATAAATTAAAAAAATTGTCTGGACGTGGCGGCGCTTGCCTGTATTTCCAGTTACTTGGAAGGCTGAGGAGGAAAGAGCACCTGAACCCAGCAGAATGAGGCTGTGGTGGCCATGGGTGTGCCACTACACTCCAGCCGGCACGACAGAGTGAGACTCCAACTCAAAAAAAAGAAAGAAACCATGCTGGACAGGAAAGCCAGGAGTAATCAAACTGCTCTATGTAGATGAGGGGAGAGTCAAAGCTTGGCATTGCACTGACCTTCAGGTACTAGGAAAAATGGCATTATTCACAGAAATGCTTTTTCTTACTATTTTTTTTTTTTGAGTTGGAGTCTCATTCTGTCACCCAGACTGGAGTGCAGTGGCCGCTCCCGGCCATCACAGCCTCTACCTGCTGGGCTCCGGCGATCCTTCCGCCTCAACCTTCCAAGTAGCTGGAACTACAGGTGGGCGCTACCACGCCCGGCTAATTTTTAATTTGTTGTGGAGATGAGGTCTCGCTAAGTTGCCCAGGCGGGTCTTGAACCTGTGGGCTCAGGCAATCCACTCACCTCAGCCTCCCAAGGTGCGGGATTACAGGCTGAGCCACCAAGCCCGGTAACAACTATTTTAAATTTATTCTGGACAGGGAAAGACAACCCTGGCATTAGCCATCATAAACTACAGGAGAATGAGGCTGTCAGAATGATTAAGAGATTCTAAGTGGATAACTGACTACAGGGAAGTAAGCAGCCAGGGAGGTGTGTAGGGGGCAGATTAAAGTTTGATCTTGGCTCAGATTTATTCTTAAGAACCAAAATATGAGATCTCAGTACATAGCAGCTGAAGTGATTAGGCAACAGAGATATAAAGAAGAAGATAGCAGCAAATAAAAGGTTCTTTGTCCCTAGGAGCTCCTGTTGAAAGTCTGGCAAGTCCCGTTCTCTTTTAGCAGAGAACTACTGACCAAAAAAAAAAAAAAAACAGATCACATCACAGGAGAAACATGAGAGTGGGCATAGCTGTGAAGCCCAGGGCCCAAATAACCCTTACTTTTTCCAGTTTCCTCAGCTCTCAGGAATGCTGAGTACCAACTGCAAGCAGACTATAGCAATAGTCACAGGGTCAGCTTCTCCTGTCTCTCTCTATTCCACAAGGCCTGGTAAGGAAGAATCCCTTCCATCTTCTGCTTGCCTGGTAAATGGAGAAACAGGATGGAAAAAATTAGCCCTACGAGGAGGCGAGAGGTACGGGAGGAAGTTCCCTGTGTTTGTCCAGTTGTGATTCAAAGTTCAGTCAGATCTGTGAAAAAGAATTTGTAACAAAGCACAGGCTATGACCAACTTCCTTCTGGAACCTGAAGGCTGTTACTTGGATCTCACTGTGGCCAAAATGAATCCTGCATTAGCAGGTACACACTAAAAGCCCTAACAATGCCTGTAGATGACGTGATATCAATTGAAAGGATTAGGACAAAATCTGACTGGTGGTCAGCTGAGTTAAATAGATATACGAATTGCCCCTCAGCATGATTTAAGCTAACCATGGCCCGCACAACATCCTGGTTTTTTTTAAGATAAGGAAATATAGTTTATTTATAAACTAAATTAGAAAGAGAGAGACAGAGAAAGAGAAAGAGGAAATTCATCTCCCCAAGGTGGATGAGGGGGCCAAAGCTTAAGAAAACATGGCCTGGCCACAGCTCAAAGAGCACATGGCTACACCATAACTTAGCAAGGCAACGGACCTGTGTTTACTTCCAAAGTATCTACTCATCAATATCCAAAACAGTTGAGCCCTATCTGATAAAACTTAGGTTGCAGCACCCAAACGCCCTGCACTTCTTTCTTGGTTTATTTTTTTTTTTTACTTTTTATTTTTTTTTAGGTTGGAGTCTCACTCTGTTGCCCAGACTGGAGTGCAGTGGCCGCTTCTGGCCACTGCAGC